TGAGTATTACTCCCAGACCCATATAAAAACTCAGTTTCTGCATGAAAAAATAGAATGACAATTTTTAATATTTTTTTTCAGCATTTGAACTTGATTGCCTATTTGTCAATTACTCAAAGAATTCGACGAACGAACAACAAATATTTATGCAAGCACTTTAAATTCTAAAAATTGCGATTTTTTTTGAGTACCTAAATAAGAAGTGAACACGAAAATATTCTACTTAAAAATATGCGTATTTATAAGTATTACTTCACATTCGGCGCTACCCAACAATGTTTTCAATTTCCAATAATTGATTAACATCGCCAAGTGACAGATCACAGACATTGGACACCTCCAAATTAATTAATGTTACAGATCTCGCGACCAATCGTTCAAGCAGCTATTAATTTTTTATTAAAAAAAAAGGGAAAAAGGACACTATAATTAATCCAAAAAAAAAGGGAAAATGAATCGTGTAATATGCTTACAATTTATAACTAACAAAATAACTTTAACTTACAATTTATTGCTTTATAACAAATAACCAATTTAAAGAAAAAATTTCTCGGCAACATAGGCAGGGGGAGAACCATAGTTGTCCTGGTAATTTAATCTTGTAGTGCATTTGTCGTTCGACCCGTTTGTGCTTCTTTGGTAACTTGATTATCATCTGGTCAACAATGAAAACTTATACAACGGCGCGTTCAAGTATGATTAATTACATTGTAAGAAAAAAATGCCAGAGGCAATAGAACAAGCGCGCTCTTTTCAATTTTTTTTTCTCACACTCACTCACACATTTATACAATTGTTTTATTAGTCCGATATCTCGAATCTAAGATCTCTTTATTGTAATTTTCTTCAATTTCATTCACAATTAACTTTTTAAGGTATACTTAAGTGTTAAAAAAAAAAAAAAAAAAAGGAAAAAATATGATTCACGATAGTATCGAATCGATTTTTTTATTTTCTATTAAATCAACGTTGGGGAGGAGTACGAAAGTATGTATACGTATATGTATTTATGTATAGAGTAATAAGCTCACGCAAGACCGCACCCACGTTCGCGTCGTTCCATATCCAAGATGCCCGAAGTAGCGCGCTGACATCGCAGAGAAGTCATTGCAGGTGATATAGACTTCTTGTTGTAAAAAGCTATGGTACCGTACAAAGAGTTTCACTGCAAACAAATTTTTGTTCATTATTTACAGAGAAGTTCAAGTCACACTTCCTACGCGCTAAGTAACTTGGGGGAAAGGTTTTATTTCAAAATACTTTGATTTATAATTGCAATTTTCAAAGAATTAAAAACACAAACGTTGCTTACACTTGAAAAATTTTACTCGGTAACAATAGACTTTTGATGATGTAAAAAATCCTTTGAGAAAAAAAAAATAGTTTTATTTACACAGTAGTGTACATGCAAAAAATGTGTATTTTTTGTATTATAATTCCAGTATCGTGAAATGAAGTATACTTATTTGTTGTTTAAATTACTTTGACAAGGTATATAATTCAATGGAACAAAGATTGGACTTTTCATGAAAGTAATAAGGAAACAATTTAATCTTAATGAACTTTTAATTTCGATAAGTTTTACAATTTCTTATGAGAAATAAAAAGATCATTTACACGGTATTTTTTTTTCTTTCAAGAAAATACTCATTCTCCTAGTGTCATAAGATAGTAGTGGAAACTGTACAAATTTTGAAAAATTTGTCCATCACAGGAAAATTAAATCAACACTTACAATTACTTAAATACATAATAATACGCACCGTAATTTTTCTTCTTCCCGCACGCACACGCTCGACTCTCTGTATATATATATATATATATATACGCGTGCCTTTCATCTTCCCGTGCGGGGGACTCTTTGTCAGAACGCACGAGCGCACTGCATACACGATATGTGTAGGTGAGGAGGGAAGAAAACCCTCCCTACGTATGTATACATATGGTAATCTATACAGGCCCAAAGAGTCGAGGCGAACGCATATTGTATACGCACTTCTTATAGAGAACGTTGCGTCCCAAAAAGGTATATATATACACACACATATTATGTCCCATCGACCTTTTTTTCGTCGTTTGGTGGCAAAGATACATATATTTATACGTATACACACGTATTACATATAGGGTATATACATACGTTTCCCTTGGCCCTATACGACATGGCTACATCGTGCCGTGCAGTGTTGTGCATAAAAACGTCTATTTGTACTCGGTATATAATATATATACGGGCGAGAATACGTATACGTGGTGTACGCTGCACGCGTGGAAATGGGGTCGCCGTTAGAGGTCAAAGATCCCTTGGTCTCTCTCTCTCTCACTTTTTTTCCAGCGTTTCGGGAATGTATATCATGAGATGAGTATTTTATTTCTAGTGTTGCGTGGAGTCCCATAGATTTTTTTGTTAGCCCCCCGTTCGAGTAAATTACATTTCGCGCGTGTGAATTAAACACGATTATTCCGCGTGCGCGCAAAAATATGTGTATATATATATGGAGCGACGATGATGATGATGTCTGGTGTACGAGAGCCCGTGCAGCCGAGAAGATTTCACTTTCTAAAGTTCGGAGAGCAGAGAGCAGTTGGAGGAGGAGGAGGAGACTTTGGAGTTTCTGCTGCGCGAGAGGAGCAACCGTATAACCGTAATATGCTCCTCTACAGACTTCTCCGTGAAAANTATGAAAAAAAAAAATTTTAATCATAGAGCAACTCACAGGCTATGCGATTTCAATAAGTTTAACTTAAATGTGGAAAGGAAATAATACTACGAAAAAAAATGAAGAAAGGAGCTCAGAGTAACAGAGTGACAGTAATTTTTCCTAGTGTTCTAAATAAAACTCACCCGAGAGAGCTTCCCGAAATGTGTGCAGTTCTGGTTCCGGCTCGTTACCAGGGGGAGGTGTCGACGACACCACCATACTCGCAGCCGGCCCTTGCGACGGTGGTGACCCGCAGATCATCATACGCGGCTTGGGCGAGCTTCTAAAAATCATTTCCAATATTTATCATCTCTTATTTCTTTTGCAACAAAGAGAAAATTAAAAAAAATAGCTTACCGATGCGAGTGCCGTGGAGGCGGTGGTTTGCCAGCGAGATACGCCAAGAGGTCCTCCCGGCGAATCATCCGTCGTTTTTTCTTTGCCCAATTCATGATTTCTCTGCTGCGTTTTTGTCTCCCGGCTTCCATGCCCAATTCGCTACACCGTCGGATGTTGCTCGTCGACTCTGCAAATCAAAGTATATACACTCTCTCTTTGAATTTGGGATGAGGATGCGCGCTCTTAACTCTCGGAGTCAATTAAAAAAGCGATTCATCGCGTTGGGCTTATCGTTTGCGAGGAAAAATTTGCATTGCTAAAATCTTAGCATCGTAAATAAAAAAAAAGGAAAAAAAAGTTTTGAAAGCCACTGGAACAAAAAAATGCTTGGCAATTACAGTAGCATGAGCGACAATAGAAGGGGACAGCGCTCCCGACGACGAGCTCCTCCTCCCCTCCCCCAAACAGCTGACCAGCCCCGCGAAGGTCAGCTGTTGACGACTCGCGCTTGCGCGCTATACGCGAGGAATAAGTGAATGTGTATGAGTGTACGTGTGTGGAAGAGGAAGGAGGGGCTATACAGAAAGGGAAAGGGGGAAAAGGGTATTGTTGGAATTTCAAAATCTCTCGCTCTAGGGTCGGATAAGCGCTTGGTTTTTTTCTATTGCGTGCTTATACATGGCAGGAGAAATAAAACTGAAACTTGAATATTTCTTTCTTTTCTTTTTTTTAATTTTTATTTCCTTTTGTTAATGTTTTTCAGGTGTGGGAGGTACTTCTTTCGGATGGATTTTTTAAAACAATCCAAGTGTTAGTTAAGTTATTTCCAAAATTACTTTTACATGATCTAGTTGCCGATACGGGAAATGAGTGTGAGTATTACATGATGTGGAGTCACTTTTGTTGGCAAAATTTCCAGCAACGATGATAAGGATAATCACAAGTTAAGAAGTTTTGGAAAAAGAAAACGTGACATATTTTGGCGCTGTACTTGTAGGCTTTAAAGATTAGAGTGTCTATTGAATTTATTAAATTTTGAGTATTTACATCGCGATAAAAATCATACAACTGGTTTTTAAATGACGCGAAAATACGTCTGAGAACTTTTACACACAGGTGTGTATTTGTTTTTTTTCTCACGATAAAAAAAAAAAGAAAAAAAAGTTGAGGCGTCGATAGGTATATTGAATCTGTATAGTTTACTTTGCACGAGAACCGAAAAAAAAGGAGAGTCTAGAAACTCCGAGAGACCTTTTTCAGATACTTGTGAAGGTGACGTTATTCGGAGGTCGAAAAATGTTTCGATTATTGATTCCAAGGTTATTTTTGGCTCTGTGTTTTCGTGGGCTTTGCACTCCTGTTTGCAGAAATCGACGATGCCGGAGATCTAGAATAAAATTTCCTACCGCACGAGTGTCAAATATTAAGAAAAAAAAATTATACAGCGCGCCAAGTATTTCGCAAGGGAATACGTTAGGAACGAGTTTTAAAAAAAAAAGTTACGAAACCACGCCGTTACGGTAGGCTTGGGAAAAAAAAAAAAAAAAAAAAAGAGAAAACCACGCGGCATAGAAAAGGAAAAGGGCAATGAACAGAGGAAACCAGCGAGCTCGTAGCGCGGCAGGTGATGATCCTTGAGGAAAAAGAAAAATACATACCTTTGTACATGGAGGTGACTGTGCCGGCAGCCGTCTGAAAGGGCGACCAGAAAGATGTGCCCTGCGAGCGATCTGTAAAAAGAGAGGGCGGTTAGCGACTGACGACTGATCGATATGCTTTTGTACGTATACAAGTATTGGGTGTATTTGCAGCGGAGGAACATATATATATATACATTACGTTGAGAGATAAGGGGAAAAAGCGCTCGGAATTTCGAACGCTCCAAGCGCGTCTACTCTACTTTGGCTGGGAACTTATTATTTTCCACTGCATTGTTGGTTAATGGTAAAACCTTAGGTTTTATTTTTTTATTCAATAATTGTAAATACTCAACAAAGGTTTTCTTTGGTTCATAAGAAACTTTTATACATAAAGAGCGAGAAAATGGTGTGGGCTGAAAAAAAAGAGATACTCTTACAGAAGAGAAAAGAAGAAGTGGGTTTAAAAGGGCAAAAAAAAAAACCTTCGTCTGTGTGAACAAGAAAATGGATGTCGAGCAAAATGGCATCACTCGCACGAGCCGAGAGAAGAAGAAAATATATACATACACGTACACACGCGTAGTATGGGTATAAGCCTCATGCCCTACGTATGTACATTTTGCCGCAACAGCATGAAAGAGAGAGACTTTTTACATGCCGTGAGCGCTCGACGAGGAGAGACCATTGGAGCATCCGAGAGAGATATAAAGAAAGCGAAAGCACAACAATGTGCCTCGAGGACGCGTGTATACGTGTACCCCTGAAGCACAGCGCGGCTGAAGAGATCGAATGAGCTGGAAGCAATCAGTCGGAGACCCAGAGGCGTGTACTCGCGGAGATGCGGGGTGATTTGTGTGCGCGAGCTATGTTTGTTCACGAATTGTTAACGTTGAGAGATGGCTTGACAATTAAACAAGCTTTCAACATGATTTCCTTCCTGGGAAAGGAATTTTTTGTGAAACTGATACTGTTGTGATTTAGGATTATTCCGACGAGCACATGTTGGTCCACAATATAACATTGAATGAAACTATGATATCTGCAAAAGTAAAGAGAGAATTTATGATTTTTTCAGCAATACTTTGTACACAAAATTTAATTGGGTGGAAGAATCGACCCAATAAACAACTAGTGGCCTTGAAACACAGTGTGCTAGTGATAGCTAATTGACTTACTTTTGAGTAAAGTAAACAAACCCAAACAAAAAATTTTCAAAATAAATTGATTAAACAGAAACTTTAAAATAAAATTAATTTCAAAAAGGTTGATGGGGATTAACTTGAATGAAAACAAAAACTTAAACCTTCAACTCTTTCGAACTTATCTTATTACAAGGAAAACAAAGCAAACCACAGATATTACAAATACATTGACTGGAACCACAACCTGACCTGAGCAAATGATAAGATCTTTCATTGTAAAACAATATATACAATAACTTGCAACACTGTGATCGAGATAAACCTAAAAAATTGGGCATAATAATGAATTTAGATGTAAATTAACAAATTTGCACAACAATTAATTTTTTTAACAAACGTTAAATTATTATTTGGATTTCGATTGTGACAAAAAATAAATTAAATCATACAAAAGAAAAAAATAAAGAATTCAAGTTAGCACATAAAGGCCCCAGTAAAAGTTTAAGCTTATGCAAGTGAAGAGTAAAGTCATTAATGAGAACAATAAAAAGATAAATGAAGTGCCATCGCTACGTTGCTAATAGCATTGAGAAAAACAAACTTGAACTCTTCTTCTTCCTGTTACTAAATAAAGTAACATTACTTATTCCTTCAACATAACCCAAGCTTTGGATGTGCTGAGAGACCCAACCCAACACTACTGACTAAGAGAGACGGAAAAATATTCATTAGAATCTAAAAACAGATTTGTGACTAGTAATAAAAACTCGCTTATACAATGGACACGTAAAATTCAATGCACATCTACAGCAAGCAGGCACAAAAAATTAGCTGCAGGCAGTCCAATAAGCAATGCCCATTATCATGATTGTTTACATCACTTCACTATTGCCGAGATTAGCTAATAGCACCACTACTCAGAAACGTATCAAGTAAAACTATGAAAAAAAAATGATAATAATAATAATAATGATAAGATACAGAATATAAAAATTTCGAAACGGGGTACCAGTGATAAAATTACTTGAAAAAGAGATAAAAAAAAAAAAAAAAAAAATTAACGTTGAAAAAAAACCTCGCCTTTGTAAAGCTGGGCGATGGCGGTCGCCGTCGTCTGAAAATTCGACCAGATCTGCTGGCAATAGAGCTCCTTCTCGTTGTGCAGCTGGTTCTCGTAGTCTGGCTCGGCACTGATCGTGTCCACGTACTGCTGCTCGAAATTCGACACCCAAAAGTCCTCGTCGCTCTTGTCCTCGCTCATGGCTCCTCTGTCGCGCACCAACACTCACTAACCCACAACTTTACACACTCCCCAGGCTTCCACCTTGATGGTTATTGTCCTCGACTGCGGCAACAACTTCCCCGAGGCCAACGTGCGCATACACCTTTTACTCTTGTCCTACGCGACGACGACCGACGAACTCGCACTGCTGCTACGCACACGCATGCACTCTGTTTCGCTTGCCGATAACGATGATCATCCACGGCATCCACGCTGCCTGATGTCCTGCCTGTAAGGTACATGTACATATGTATACTTATATTTTTGTTCTCGCCCACTCCGAGATCACAGAGAGCAATTCTCATACATAAGTATTTGAAGAAAAAAGAGAAAAAATTTATCTCAACTCTATCGAGGCACACCAAGTAACGTATGCAAGTACCTCGAGCTGTCTTCGTGCTCTATCTGTATGGCTGGCACGGATGTTTTGCCGATCTCGCCCTCGAGGTGAGTGTACCTCGGGCTAAACGGAGCGCTGCAGTGCTACAATCAGACACTGCTCGTACAAGCAAAAGGTATTTACCTGAAGTGAGGTTAGGTCGTCGTTGTTTCTTTCACTCTTGTCCTCTCCCCCAGGGTACGCTCCAGCTCTCTCCCTGATGGTGTATCGCAGTGGTGACTGTTGACTCTTCTATTCAGCCAATTCTTGTTTCTCAATTCTCGAGTTCCTGTTTTTTCTATGGGTCGAGGCCACGCACCGAGAGAAGGAAGTTTCGTTGCTTCGTCCAGATCTGCAGGAAGCGACGAAGTTAACCACAAGACGTCGCGCACACACTCATTTTAATTGGAGCTTCGAGTGGACACATGTTTTAGGTCTAGGAGATCGTTCTACCCGAAGACGACGTTTCCAGCACTCACTAGCAGAAGAAGCAGCGCTGGGAGCAGAAAAACATTCCCGATGTACTTAGATACACAGTATATATATACACAGATATATAAGAACAGGCGGATATATATCAGCCAAGTCTTGGCACCGCGACACTAGGTATTATTACGGCCACGGTGATGATCCGATGACTCCGATTAGTCCGATGATCGGACTCCGATCCGCACCTCCGCAACTCTACACACACACTGCAGACTGCGCAAACATATCAAGGAAGGCAAAGGCACACGCGGTGCGCACGCACAAAGACCAGGCGCTGATATACATATATAGATATACAGCAATGCATATATTATTTGTCTCGCTCTAGTGCTCCACCAGTGCTCTTCTTTTGCACTTGCACGCACGCGTTAGCCTATGAAGTTTTTTTCAATTCCTTTGTATTTTTTTTGTGTTCTTCTCTCTCTTTTCCTCTGCTGCTCCGCTTTAAATTTCGTATTCTTTCCCCCCCCCACTTTGCCGCCTCTCTATCCCCACTCCGTGTACACTATGTAATTAGTATGATGTTGGTGTATTTTTTTTTTATTATTACTAAATTGGTGTAACTGATTGGTGATTCTCTCTCTAACCTTTGTAAAATTGGTATACATAAATTCACAAAAAATCTAACTATAAGTACGACTCGTTTAAAAAAAAATCAACTGAAAAATTTTCAGAAATCGAGAGAGAGAGGGACAGAGAGACTTAACAAGTTGAACTGAGCAACTATTTTAGAATTAACAGCGCAAGCAAACAATGAGCTTATTATTTGGTAATTATCATGAGGACTGTAACTACCGTGTGGAATTCAAAGAGCAAAAGTATAATTAATTAAGTGGGTATTAAAATATAAAGTTTCAAAAGTATATATATTTGACATCTTCGTGGGTTAAATCGTGTCAATTGTCTTTGGAGAGCATTGTGTAAAAATTTAATACAAAAAGCTATTGAAGAGATAAAAAAATGAAGAAAAAATCTATAAGCATGAAAAAAAAAATTTTTATATAATATATGCACACGAAAGACATAAGAAAAAATATCATTCAATAAATTATTTATAAAACAAATGATAAAAACTAATATCAACAATTAATAAATATTAG